CTGGCACAGGGTACGTGTGCTGTTGAAGTGCCCTGTTGAGGGTGCACTTATAGTCAGCGCATATTCGCACTTCCCCATTGGCCTTTAATGGCGTTACTATGGGGGTCTACCACACCCCACTGTCTACGGGCTGTAATACCCCTTGTTCCACTAGCTTATCCAGCTCTGCATCGATTTTGGGTTTTAACACGAAAGGCACTCTATGAGGCTTCATGCGTATTGGAGTTACCATAGGATCAAGCTTGAGGGCGATAGGAGGACCCTTGTACTCCCCTAGATTAGAACTGAAAACATCCACAAACTCTTGGCAGACTTCAGACAGATCTGCCGCTTGGGTTTGGTGAATGCCGGTTACTTGAATGCCCAATGCATCAAGTCAATCGAGCCCTATGAGGCTCGTGCATTGGCCTTCCACCACTACGACAGCTAGTGGCCCCTTGAACCCCTTGAATTCCACCAGAAGTATGGCTTTGCCTTTGACCGCCACTCGGGAGTTTTGGAAGTCTGTGAGTAGTAGATTAGATGGCCGGAGCTTGGCCCATCTGTTGCTACGATGGCATAGGTGCCTGAATGTTCCTTGTGAAATGATGGACATGGCTGAGCCCGTGTCCAGTGCCATCTTGCATGGAACTCCCTGAAGCTTGACCTGTAGTCTAAGTTTCTGCTTTAGGGGGTGATGGGCACCAGTGCAGAATACACTCCTTTGGCTGGAGCAAAACCCTACTCGATGTTGACCCGGGGCCCCAGTACCTCTCCTGAATGTGTCTTCTTTCAGGCAGTCCCTCTGAAAACCTCAGCAGGCTGCGATGTGGCCTGGTTTGCCACAGGCCCAGCACGTTGCAGTTCAGAATCGGCAATCCGCATGTTGATGGTGGCCTCCGCAGCCCATGCATCTAAGGAATGGAACTGCATTCTCAGATGGCTGCGGTCCCTTCTCCAGGTGCTTTCGTAGCTGGTTGACTTTGTAGTCTGAGTTAGTGTCTTCCATCCGCTCGGTGTCCTTGTGGTGGACGGCTTCAGTGCTTGGCATGCATTTGGAGGACCACAGTGCTTTAACGTCCCCCCGGCAGCTTCATCTGCCATGACCTCCTTCAGGGCCTCCTGTAGCGAGAAAGTCTCCTTAGCGAGCAGTTTTTGTTGGAGCTCTCGATTCTGGAGTCCGCAGACTAAGCGGTCTCGTAGTCTCTCTTCCAAATCCGCGGAATTGCAGAGTCAGGATGCTTGACGAAGAACGGCAATGAATTCTGTTGCAGACTCGCCGGGTTGTTGATCCCGCTGCTCAAAAGCGTGCCTCCACGCTATAACAGGCTCGAAGTGGTCTCAGAGCTTTTTTTTCAAGTCCGCATAGGTGACCGACTCGAGCGGCGCCGGGGCGATCAGGTTCTCTGCAATGTCAAAGGGGGCATGCCGCACACGCAGAGGAGTGTCACGGCCTTCAATCGGAGACCTGGTTGGCGTGGAGGTAATTTTCGATGCGGGAGATGTAGGACGCCCATCTCTCCGGGTGAGTTATGTCGAATTCTTTGAGCTTCCTGATCTGTCTCCAGCGTGGCTTGCTGGCAGACCGAGGGGGGGGGAAATGTAGTTCCTGTCAGGCTCTGTGCTGACCTCACCCCCTAGTGACTTCAAGCTCTCTCAATGAAGCAGCACATCCCATCCTCGTCGCCACTGTTGTATCTTCGGTTCTTTAGGCATTGAACGAAGCAGAGTGTTGAAACAGCAAACTAGTTTATTAACTCAGAACAGAAGCAGCCCTAAAGGCTGCTGCATAGCTATTTATACAGTTAATAATAATAATAGTAAAGTTGGAAGGGACCTTGGAGGTCATCTAGTCCAAACCCCTGCTCAGGCAGGAAACCCTATACCATTTCAGACAAATGGCTGTCCAGTCCCTTCTTAAAAACTTCCAGTGTTGAAAGCATTCACCGCTTCTGGAAGCAGGTTGTTCCACTGGTTAATTGATCTACCTGTCAGGAAGTTTCTCCTTAGTTCTAGGTTGCTTCTCTCCTTGATTAGTTTCCACCCGTTGCTTCTTGTCCTGCCTTCAGGCGCTTTGGAAAATAGCTTGACTCCCTCTTCTTTGTGGCAGCCCCTGAGATATTGGAACACTGCTATCATGTTCCCCCTTGTCCTTCTCTTCGGTTAACTAGACATACCCAATTCCAGCAGCCGTTCCTTATATGCTTTAGCCTCCAGTCCCCTAATCATCTTTGTTGCTCTTCTCTGTACTCTTTCTAGAGTCTCAACATCTTTTTTACATTGCGGTGACCAAAACTGGATGCAGTATTCCAAGTGTGGCCTTACCAAGGCATTGTAAAGTGGTATTAACACTTCATGTGATCTTGATTCTATCCCTCTGTTAATGCAGTCTAGCACTGTGTTGGCCTTTTTGGCAGCTGCAGCACACTGCTGGCTCATATTTAGGTGATTGTCCACTAGACTCCAAGGTCCCTCTCACAGTTACTACTATTGAGCAAGGTACCCCTTATACTATACCTGTGCATTTGATTTTTCTTGCCTAAATGTAGAACCTTGCTTTTTTCACCATTGAATTTCATTTTGTTAGATAGTGCCCAGTGTTCAAGTCTGTCCAGATCCTTCTGTATCTTAAGCCTGTCTGTGGAGTGTTGGCTATTCCTGCCAACTTGGTGTCGTCTGCAATTTTGATGAGTTCCCCATCTATCCCCTCATCCAAATCATTGATGAAGATGAAGAGCACTGGGCCCAGAACAGAGCCCTGGGGCACCCCACTACACACTTCCCTCCATGTAGATGTGGTTCCATTGTTAGCCTCTAGGTGGCAACCAATAGGTTTAAAGTAACAGTTTCCCGCCCCAAACCTCATTATCAGCTTGGAGACAGCCAGTCTGGCTTATAGTAACAGCAACTGTTAAACAATACAGCAATGTAGGTCAGACATTAAGCAAATGATTTAAAACAGTTGTGGCCAATACATTACAAAGGCCATGTCCATTTTCATAATGTTTCAGTTCTTTGATGAAGTACCATCTCTTGATTCCTTACAATAAAAGTATAAAGCTACAACTAGTCAAACAACCAAATTCTGCTGACAGGACCTTAATTACAGTATTAACTTTTATAGTAATAAATATATCTAATATAGTAATTAAAGATAATATCACACATCTGCCTTCTGTAAGCTTCAAACCATAATAAAGCAATAATACTGTATAATCAGAACCAGGTTCTCTTGTTGGACTTCTCCCAAAAGATATGATTGTATCTTCAAGGCAGCTGTGCTGGAAAACAGTTTGTGGGATAATCAGAATGTCATTTACATCGTGCAAAGCTAAGGTGACCAACCGTCCTCCTTTAGGGAAGACAGTCCTCCTTTTGTAATTTCTGTCCTCTCTCGAAAAGTGTCCTCTTACATGTTCTCCTTTTTGATATTTGAAGACTAATCTCTGTAAATCTCCGTATTCGATCGATGCCGATCCGATCCGTTGCGTGTGATGTGACATATTTGTATTTGACATGACAATTCGTCAAGGCTCGGTACAGTGCGGCGAGACACGATTATGAGACGCATGCGCTCCGCACAGGAGAATTGTTTTGAGAGAGTGCGCCACGTGCAAGAGTGCGCCGCACGCAAGTAGCTTTGTTTACTTCTTACCAAAACATGACACGGCACACACGCACGCCCTAGACTCACTTTTTTTCCTTCAATTTATTTGTGTCCTCCTTCTCATTGTAAAAAAGTTGGTCACCTTAGCAAAGCCTTAACAAAAATCTTAGGCTACAGCATTATAAAGCACAAATTTACCCACTGAGCATCATTTGAAAGGTATTAACAAATCAAAACAGATCCTTTTTGGCAGGTTCTGCAGGTTTCCCAATTGTGTCTCCATTAGCAAACTATATGGTACTGGTAAAATCATTATATTCTTTGCTTTGTAAATTTGCTCAGCATCTTTCATATCAAAATAAAGGCTTTGTTGCAAGGCTGGCAAAGTTGGGAATAACATTAATTTCAGCAAAAACCGATGAACCATTCTTCACGGCCACTAGAAATGGTGGGGCAAAAAGAAATTCTCACCAGGATGTGAATAACAAGTGAGCTGGCTAGAATTCTGCATCATACAGACGTCTAGTTAGTCACCAAGCTGACTTTAAAAAGCATAATAATTTGGAAAGTCTGTGCAAGCTCAGAAATAAATGTTATACACTGAACAGTAACTGTGCATTGTTTAGCATAGTAGAAATAATTTTGAAAATTCAGCCCTGCTCTAGATACACAGTGCCATGTGGCCTTAATAGTAATTGAAATACACTGTTTTTCAAATTTCCTACCATCAGCAGAGAAGTTGCCTTAAAATTCATTGAACATTGCTGGCAAATTTTATTGGATAAATTTTCAATTCACATGCATCTGATTAATATTTCCTGTGCAGAAAGAATATTATCCAAGGACACTCAATCACATCATCTCCTTACATTGAAGGTAAAAATACTTAGTAGTTGCAAACAAATCTTTCAAGGAATCATAAATCATACGGTTGGAAGGGACCTTGGAGGTCTTCTAGTCCAATTGTCTGCCCATGGCTAGAGACCTTATATCATCCCAGGCAATCTCTTCTTGAAAACCTTCAGTAATGGAGCATCCTGAAGTCTGGGAGGAAAACTGTTCCATTGGTTAATTATTCTCACTGTCAGGAAATTTCTCCTTAGTTCCAGGTAGGATATCTCTTTAACAAGCTTCCACCCATTGCTTCCTGTCCAGCTCTTGGGAGTTTTGGAGAATAAGTCAACCCCCTCCTCCCTGTATGATTTCTCATGCAGTCCTCTTATCATTTTACTTGCTCTTCTTTGCATTCTGGTTTGTCTATCATCACTCTCTTTAGGAATTCCAGCTGAGCTGCCAAGAAATCAAAAGGTTGCACAGAATGCAGTTGGAAAATAATGTCCCTGATCCAAATAATATAATCTCAGTTTCTATAAGGGCGATGGCCACCCTATAGATGAGCATCCAGGTTTCTTACCTGTGAGACTGTGATGCCACACTTCTTGGCTAGTTCCTCTTTGGCTTCCTCACTGGGATAAGGGTTGCTGAGATGAGAATAGAAATATTCATTGAGAATTTCTGTAGCCTGCTTGTTGAAATTTCTTCTCTTTCGCCTGGTCACAAAACATGAAGGATAATCAGTATCAGTGATTCCAGAGCATTATTTTTAAAAGGTAGGTTCAGAGCCATGAGATTCTTTCCTCCTACAAACAAACTGATGCTCAGATATGTCATCTTTTTTTTCTGATTTTCACTTTCTAGGGCAAACTCTAATATACTTGGTATCTTCTTAATACTTATACTACAAATCTAATTAGTTGTTTTCTGATACTTTTTGTCTTATAAAGCACTTTTCATTTGTCCTTTTTGAGAGCAAAAAAATGATACCAATTGATAAGGTATAATTTACTTTTTCAGCTATCTAATTCTGTTCCTTAAAATATGGTTTGTAAAGTTGTTGCCCATCCTGCTATGTTTTTCCTCAGTTAAATTGTTTGACTCATTATTTAATGAAAAACTATGGTTGAATTCAGACAAAATCAATTTCTTAAAGAATAAAAATATTAACTTTGGGCTGAATCAGTTCATTTGGCCACCTCCCTTTCCCCGTATATCCAGCTCCTTCCTTTGCCATCTTACAGTATGTTAATGATTTTATCTGCTGTGTTATTTATAATTGATGGTTTTAATGTTTTTTAATGTGTTTATATTGTACGCTGCCCAGAGTCATTGGACACAAGATGGGCAGCAAATAAATGTCACAATAAATAAATAAAATAAATACAATTCTGCAAACTTTCCTAATATTGTCACTTAGAGAAGTTGCAGTTTAGAGAAGTTGCAGTTGTTTGCACATAGTGTTGGATCTGGCAAATTAAATTATTAATGTACTTTTAATCTTATATTTCTGGGGAAATAATTATATCAGTCATCTGCTGAATCTCTTGTATCAGAAACTATGTAGCAATAGTTTCCTTTTAGTAAAAGTTAATAATCCTCGATTTATGAGTGGCAAAACTGGCAAAAACATCACAGTTACATGACCGTGAACTACTGCAGTCAACCATAAAGCTGAGCCAGTTGCCAAGTGCCTAAGGTGCAGGGGTGTATGCAGCCATCGGGGCTCTGGAATCTGGTCATAAGTAGATTTTGGGAGGTCTATCATAACTTCAAACAGTTGCTAAGTGACCAGTTGTAGATAGAGGACTGCCTGTAATTTATTCACTGAAAAAGGTTTTATTCCAAAAAGGATCGAGTAATGCTCATGTTCCCGACCTATTTATGTTGGAGGCACTTGTTTAAGGTGCTTCCAAACTGAAAGGATTAGCTGGTGACATTACTGTTGCCTGGGGGATGGCTTGGAGGAGGGGAGGCTCCTTTCAAGGAGCTGGAGTGGAATGATGGGAGCTCACCCGGCCATGCAGCAGCACTCAGGTCTCGAACACAGGCTTGCTAACTTCCAACCCAGTGTCCTAACCATGTGAGCCATCATGCTCCTTAGCTCATACGTTGAAGAAATAGGATGGTGAATCATTGTTCTATAGAATCCATTTGTTCTATAAGCAGTGAAAAGTCTTCATATCTCATAGGGTATGTGGACACTATAATAGGATCTGTAGTAAACTAGAAAATTTTGATGCTAAACTACTAAAGTACTAATCAAAATTATTGTTGTAGTTGCAAATTAAATAAATAATTTAAAAATTAAAAGGGTCTAGCCCAAGCAAGTGTTTACTAGCTCACTCCCCCTCCCCATTAATTATTTTGATACTAACATTCTGTCTATGGGGACAATCAGTTTTCAACCTTGGAAATGATTCCTAAGTGTCATAGACAAATAGGCAAGTATACATGTCTGGTCTAAAGCTCACCGTGCATCAAGAAATCGAGACCGCAAGATCATGACAGCTTCACACGTGCTCTGTTTGAGTTGCATTTGGATGGAGCTGAACTTGCGGTGGATGATGCTGACCATCCTCTCTATCTCTTTGGGGGAGATAGGCCGAGTCCTACTCTGTTCCCGCAGCAGATTCATCACATGGGTTGTGAACTCATTACATGCCTGGGACACAGGAGAAAAAGCATGAAGAACCCCGGGGACCTAAGAAGTCATGGTATGGCGGCATGTTGCAGCTCTAAGAATGCATGACACACTTCTTTGCTTCCTCAAAGCTTTCTACTTTTCTGCTTAATAGCTCAAACAATTATTAACACTGTACAATATTAAAGATGGGGCAAGCGAAGGTGAAAGGGGAGTGAGGGAAGAAAACAGATATAAATATTAAACAAATTTGCATACATAAATGTATATTAAACACACATTCTGACTCAGCTGTAATAAGCTTCCATGGAATCATCAAGGAAAAAAAATATGTACTCTGATATATAATTTAGGCTGGCATTTTTTTCTTAAATCTCAGTTTTAAGACCCTCTCAATTATTGTGTAGCCAAGGATGCAATTGAAAGCATAACAAAAGTTAAATAGATCAATTGTAAAACATCTGTAAAGTTCTATTTATACAAAGTTCTTCCATAAGTTTTAAATTTCCTATCATCTTAGATCATAGGCTCTTTTAAGTGATCTGGTGCTAAAATGTTGCTGTTAAATTTCAGTGGAAATAAGACGGAGCTTTTGGATCCATACCAAAGTCTCAGGGACTGCATATAGACTGAGGTCTGCTTACCCAAGCCCTATATAATGCTTCAAATATTGGGTCATACAAATATAAATCAGATTTGCACATCTATCTGATGTGTGGCTAAAAGCTAAACAGAATTGGGGTTTGTTTGTGCCTAGGTGAAAAACCACCAGGAAACCTCCTCTATGCCTCATGAATTCTATGATAGAAGAAAGAGATATGGAATCGTGCATCTGAATTTATTTTATTTTCACTGTCTCCCTCTCTCACACATGCATTTCTTCCAGATATATGACAGAAAGATACAAAATAAGCCCTCAACATTGTTGAGAATATTTCTCAATAAAGGAAGGAGGTTTTTGCTTGAGTAAATTGGTTATTTTTTAACCTTCTAAATAGTAGATGTGCAAGTATCTCTTGTGCACACCATTCAGTTCAGTGAAAATGAGAAAGCCCTCTGACACTGCATGATTTGCAGTGCTGTTCCCTCCTACTTATAAGAGGGCAATTTGGAAATAAACCTCTGTTTGGTTATCAATGACAGACACTTGCAGATACAAACTTTTATTATACACATTAGAAAATTACAATATTATATTACCTTTCGACATAAATTGCCGTTCAAATTGAGGCATTTATCATGACTTAACAAGGTTTAAAATTCCTTAGTAGTCGCTCGGCACCAAATCTGGGCTATTGGGGGTTGATCAAAAACATCCCAACAGAACTGCTTCAAAAGCTCTTGGGTACATCCAGCAGTGTGTGCGTGAGCATTATCGTGAACCAACACCACACCGGAAGTGGTGCCATAGAAAATCCTGCCAAATGTGAAGATGCCAAAGGAGTACTGCTAGTGAAGTTCATGCAGCTACCAATTTGGCTTAAAAATGATTTTTTTACAAATTTGGATAGACTTATTTCAAAGTTCATATGGCAAGGGAAATGACTGAGAACCAGATTAAAACTATTACAAGATGCTAGAGAAAAAGGAGGATTTGGCCTACCAGACTGGACAAAGTATTACCAGGCAGCGGCGTTGGTCTGGCTAAGTGAGTGGATGCATCTCAAAAATACAAGATTATTAGTACTAGAAGGTCATGATCTACAGACAGGGTGGCATGCTACTTTATGGGAAGAAAAACATTTAGTCCAGCAACACTTCCAGAAGCATTATATTAGGAGAGCACTATTGGATATCTGAAAAAAAATAAAAAGAAATAATTATAGGAAAATCCCCAACTGGGTGTCTACATTAGAAATGTATACACATCCAAATTTGATAAAACATGGGGGTGCTGTCACCTATAAACTATAGAACTTACTCTTTCCTCTTAATTTTCGCTCTTTATGGAATTTCCTTCTTCCTTAACTAGACCTTACCACCCGCATAGAAGTTTAAGTTAGGTTTAAATTATTTCTGTTTTTCCTTGCCCCGTATTTCGTTCATTCTTCAGAATTAGATAAAATCTTATTTAGCAGGGAAGGCAAGACTATAAGTAAATTATATCAATACTTATTAGAGCAAGATATGATTGAGGAACAGGTGAAAGAAATGATGATAATTTGGTGTAAATATTTTGGGCACAATATTGATTTGGATATTTGGCAAAGTTTATGGGAAAAAAATCTAAAAATTATTCTAGCAACCTCCTATAAGGAAAACCTCTATATGATGTTTTATAGGTGGGACCTCCCTCCCACAAGATTAGCACGAATGAACAAGGGGAAATCCTTGATATGCTGGAAGTGTGAAGAGACCATTGGGAATTACTACCACATGTGGTGGCAATGCCCAAAGGCACAAAAATTTTGGAACTTATTAAAGAAGTGGTTGGAAGAAATTTTGCAAATAGATGTAGAAGCCAAACCGGAATTTTTCTTATTGGGAATTATAGAAAGAAAATATAAGAAAGACACAAATTATTTACTACTGCATATAGTAACAGCGGCACGAATAGCCTTCGCTCAAAAATGGAAAGAAGAGGAAATATTATTAAAAATTTTCAATTTTGCTGAAATGGATAGACTTACATGGGAACTCAAGGACAAAAGTGAAACCAAGTACTATAAAATCTGGGAACAATTTTATGATTGGATAGACAATAAGAGGGTAGCCAAGATAAATGTATAGTGCTAGAATAAAATATAGATTATAGACAAATGTATATTTAAAAGATAAATAGATATATTTATATTTATATTTATATTTAAGGGGAAAAGTGTTAATAGTATATTATAAATAGTGAGCAAAGTTCAAGAACTATATGTCTATATGAGTACTAATACTATTGTAAAATGTTGGAAGATGTATGGAACCAATGACGTCATATCTATGTCCAATGTGTTTTTAATTCTGTATTATTAATAAAAATTAAAAAAAAAGAAGTTCATGCAGTGTGGTTCGACCATCAATTCAGAAGTCTACTATAAAATGTTATGAAAACTCAGATGAGCCATCCATAACATGCATCGGGGCATGCTGACTTCTGGTGTGGTGTTGGTTCACCATAATGCTTGCCCGCACACCGCTAGATGCACCCATAAACATTTGAAGCGGTTCCGTTGGGATGTTTTTGATCACACACACACACACACACACCTGTAGCCCAGATTTGGTGCTGAGCAACTACGTCTAAGGAATTTCAAACCTTATAATTGTTATGACAAGTGCTTCAATTTGAATGGCGATTATGTTGAAAAGTAATGTAATGTTGTAGTTTTCTAATGTGTATAATAAAAGTTCTGTATCTGTGAGTGTCTGTCATTGATAACCAAATGGAGGTTTATTTCCGAATTGCCCTAATAGGATGACATTTAATATATGCTGCTGGAGTCCTATGTGTATAGAAGGCTGAAAAAGAATTTATTTATTTTATTATTATTTATTTATAAAATTTATAGGTTCCACATTGTTGAATATAGTAATATTTTTAAAAACCTTTTATTAAGGAAACATCTTTTGGTACTTTAAACCAAACTTTCAACAACAGAGTGTAAATTTCTCATGTGTTTGTACTACAGAAATTGTCAGTAAGAAGGGAAAAGTTGTCAGTTTGGGGAATGTATTTCTGTTAGAACAGAAGGGAAAGAAAGAGGGGGAAAGCTTGCCCATATCTGAAGGTCAGACTGGATAATAGAGAACAACATTCTGGATAATAGAAAAATAACTATAGTTGTAAGGAACCACTTCAATCCACATCTTAAGAAAGCAGAACTCTTGGAAACAATCTCTTCCAACAGGAACGTTTATTAAGAGTAATCGGACTTCTGGTTCTGGTTTGCGGTGACTCCGGTCATTTGAAGAGACATGTCTCTCCACCGGCTGTGTTTTCTTCGCCGGTAGACCCCCTATTGGGTCAAAAGTTGCCCTGGAGGGACGACCACCGAGGAGGAGGCTTGCTGGTGACTGCAGGAGGGCAGCAGCTTCTTCCACGGCTCCAGCTAACTCCTTAGGGCTGACGGAGCAAAGATTGTTCTGCAAGATGGCCGATTCCTTAGCTGCACCAGCCAAAAGTCACAGGTACATCTAAGCGTGAAAGACCCACCGTGGATGATCTGGGTGAGACCTCTCCTTCTCCTCTCTTCACCCTACTTTATTTTTTGCTTGTAAAAGCTCTGTTGGAATTAATTCCCTGCCTTGAAAGAGCGGCGTTTGTATGTGTGGGAAGAAAGACGCCTGAATAAAAAGACAGAACAAGTAATGTCAATGACTATATTTTACTTTCATTTATTTTGGGGTACAAAAAAAATTTTTTTTAGAGCTTTACTATCACTTTAAACTGGAAGAATATTTTTTTCCCACCTTTTCCTTTAAAAGAGAGAGAAAAGAAAAAAAATGGTGTCTGGGAAAGATTTTGTAACCTACTGAGGATATCTTGTGGCGAAAAGTTAATATTGCAATTATCTGTTTTTATTTGGAGATGAGGTGGGCTTGACCTTCAAACTATTCTTGAATAGAAAAGATAAGCTGATCCAGCTGTGGGAAATTGTGGGGGTGGATATTGTTTATATATAGCCTCCACTAAATGATAGAAGGGACTCTCTTCAATTACTACTAAAATGGAGAAACCTTATTTACAACTAAACTGTAAACTTATAGTGAAAAAAAATTATGAAGCTACTGAAGAAGAGATTATTACAGAAATAAGAGCCAGAAGCCTTACTCCAAATTCTCCAAACCTTCAAACTGATCTCCAGACCTATAAATCAAAATATACCAGAAGAAGAACTAATTGAGATTAAAAAGGAATCTATTTTACCTTATAAGCACTCCATCCATATTCTCAAGGATCAGAAGAACCAATGATTGAGACTGGAACTTTTGAAGCAACGAGGGTTTAATGACAAAAGAGCCACATACCCATTACAGAGGACGGGGTGTTTTCTATTGACTCAAATGATATTACAAGTGACAAAGGGAGATTTACTTGCGGAGATAGAAGCTTTGTTATGGAAACCGGCCTGGCACAAAAAGAAAGCCAGAAAATACTGAAAAGAGAAAATTAAAACTATATGTAATGGATTAAAAAGCACTGTAGAAATATGGATTGATTTAAGGTTTAAGACTTAGAGTTAGAAGCAAGAGAAAAATTGGTGATTACTAGAATATATATGTTAAATAGATTAAGAATGTATTTTTTGGAATAATAGGTTTATTTGTATGAAAACTATATTGTAATGGAATGAATGAAAATGGAAGAGGTTTTATAGTGATTTGGATTGATTTAATAATTAATTGAGTATGTTAATTTAGTAAAATGATGCTTTGTGTAATAATATGGGTGTTTCTAGATATGATAACTATTTGGACAAGATTTGAATTTTGCCTAATGGACTGTAATGGTTTAAGGTTTGGTATTATTTTGTTTTGTTATAGAGATAGACTGATTGATGGATGGTATATGTATAGGGTAGAGTTATATTTTATTTTAATTAGGATAAACATCGAGTAGTGGAAGAAGAAATAAGAGAGATTCGTGATAAAATTAAGGATTTAGGAGATTAAGAACTAGAATACATCTGGAAGGGATACCCGAAGTGATAATATGTTTATTTAAGGTTAAAGTGGATTATGGTAATTGTAAATTAATAAAGTTTAAAAACAGGATTAGGATTTATAAAAATTTAATGTAGAAATGCATTATTTTAAATATATTATATTATCTGAGGGAAATAGAGAGGGAATATTTAATGTATTTACTTGGGTTTTATATGGATTTATTGTTGGATATTTGACCACCCTAGCACCACGGTGTGTCCCGAGCACTTTGTTGTAAGAGTTAAAAAAACTAATTTTTATTTTTTTTTAAAAAAAAGAGTAATCGATAGCAGGCATAATAGACAGGATCTGAGGGATTCCCTTACAGATGGATGTTTTAAAGTGTCCCTAAGCAAACCCCACCCCACAGTTCTTCCAGGCAGTTCAGACCGGCAAATCCCCAGTTGTTAAATCCAGGAAAGATAACATCAGTCCGGCTCCGTTGTGCACGATCATTCAACAGTTCTTCACACCTTATTTTGATGACAGAGAAATAAACCAGATTCTGGAGGTTTGTATCTCTTCACACACACCCTTTCCTAGCTGCCTGGTAGGGAGGAGAAGTTCGGGGGGGGGGGCATAGGATAGGAGGCAATTTGTTACATTGTAAAGGTTAGCAGACACTAAGGCAAATAAACAAAAGGTTACTTTGTAGTGAATGGAGGAAGTGAAAGTAATAAACCCGCATGCATATCCCCCCTCCCCCTTGGGAGTATGGCAGGATCCAGGGAAGGGTAAGAATTGGTTTTAGATCAGAGAAGATAGATAAAAAGGAAATATAACTGGATTCTGACAATAGTATTGGATTGTTAAGGATTCATGTAGCAGAGTTACAACTCCCAGATCCTTGAGTTTATTTAATAAAATATTTTTATATGATTGTTTGTCAATTGCTGTGAAAACTAGTTAAATGCAGTATTGCTTTTTTTTAAAAAAACTTATTTTAATTATTTTTACATTTATTTGAAAATGAGCCTTTTTAAAAAGTACAGGTATTTTAAAAGCATATTCCTAAGAATAATTTGTTTATTGTGTTTTTCAAAGCACACAGTAATGTGTTATTTAAATTTAAACCATTTTTTCTCTTTTATGCTTTTTTCTTTTCAATGAGAAACAGCTGACCTAAGATAGGATCATAGCAACTCTGACTTCACAGCTGAAACCCATTATCTTAACTGCAAATACTTCAGGTCCAATTTAAATGTTCAACAGTTTCCAAATGGTAATACTTTTTCTGAGCTGCATCATTTGAAATGGGGGAGGGCATGAAGGCTTGCCCATTGGAATGTTTCCCATGGACATAATGTCTTATATATTAAATAATTAGCATCTCAGAAGGATGGGTTCAGCCTATATGATTTTTCTTGTATGCTATTTTTCTACATGCAATAAAATAGTATGTGGCCATTTCATATATTCACTCTTCAGCTGAAGCAGCAGAAGCAATAAAAACAGTTGCCAAGTCCTTCGGTCAAAAGATGCATCTTCCATCCCTGAGCCAAGAGAGGACAGAGACTGGTGCTATAGATAAGGCCAACCTAATACTACAGTTTGGCTCGTGCAACAGAGGAAGAAATGTCACAGGTACCTGTTCATACTTCTCCAGCTCTGTGTGGTAGATCTGCCGAATCTGTGAGAGTTTTGCTCTGTAGTCAGAATGTTCTACGGAATTGTCTGAACCGGCACCCCCTGAGGCTGCTGCTGCTGCCGCTGCCGCTGCAGAACCACCTCCTTTCTCAGGACCAGCTACCCCTTCTGCTAAGAGCATGTTGTCCAGCCGCATTAGCTGTGGGTCTGTGGGTTCCTCCTCCTGAGCTCCTCGAATGCTCAACACTGTGAAGGAAAAGGCACTGATTAAATCACAGAGCAATGACAATACTTTCCTAGGTCTCACCTTCAGCTCTGTGTTTGCAGACGAACTGTCTTTTCAGGAGTGTTATACAAATAAAGCAAGATAGTTGTATATAGGTGCACCTCAAATTAAAACCATTCATTTAGTGACCATTCAAAGTTACAACAGTGCTGGCTTCCAGTTTTGATGTCACGGTGATGCAGACGTCTTTCACGTTTGATTTCGCCCCGCTGGGGAACCCTGGAAAGGGTTGAAAGTTGCCCTGTAGAGGTGGCAAGCAAGGAGAGGACTGTTGTTGATCATGGCAGAAGGGGGGCAGCAGTACTCCCATTTGATATGAGGAAGCCCTCCAAATTGGCGGGGAAAAGTCTGGCTACATTCGCATACCAAGTCAGAAGCTGCTGTCAACGGAAGACAACAAGCACTATCAAGCAATCTTACAGCAACGTGGATGAAACTGGGTGAGACCTAAGCCTCTCTTTATGACTTTAAGACATCTTCCTGAACATCTGCCCAAAGCACTCCCCCCCAAGGAGGAGGGAAAGGGAATTTCCACCCCATTCCCTCAGGAAAGTGGCAAATTAATTACTTGGGGAAAAAGGAGAAACCTACAAGACTAATTTGGAATATATATATATATATATATATATATATATATATATATATATATATATATATATATATATATATATATATATATATATATATATATATATATATATATATATATATATATATATATATATATATATATATATATATATATGACTTGGAAATGTGGGGGCTAAAAGTGTTTTTAAGACCTTTTTTTTAAAAAAAAAGACTTGAAAAGTTTACAATATAAGTTTGGATTTAAAAACTGAAAAATGGTGTTGATGACATCTAGTGGTGAATTACGGCACTACAACCTATTTATGCCTAAAAGAAACCTGGCTCGAAGCCCAGAGTTAGATAAGACTTTGGCTGGCCTTGGAAGCTTTTACTTTTGAGAATTGCAGCTGAGAAAAAGGAACAGACTTGGGGGCTGCTTATCTGTGTGACAGAGATGATAATATTACTCTAAAATTGGCCTGTCTGAACTATGAACACAAATACTGACTTTCAAAACTATTGTGGAACTATTTTCCTGTAGAAGAAACATAGGGAACACTTTGGATTATAAATCTTGATTGTTAAACAAACTTTAATGGTTCTTTTTTCTCCCTGGACAGAAAGAATATAGTTCTCATTGGACAGAAAAAAATGAATTTTACTTATATCTGCTTAGGGGAGGTTTAAGAATAGGTAATTGGCTGGATAAATTTATAAAGGCTACTTACAAAAAATAAAATGGATGTTCCATACTTAGCTCTAAATAGTAAAAAACCATCTTTAACATCTGTCTCTAGAAGCCTCAGTTTGCCATATCACCAAGAAAATACTGATGAACCACAGAAATTCTCTCCATGTTGAAATTAATACAATAAACAATTGCGTTAACTCGTGATGAAATTAAAAATAACACAAAGGAGATAAAAAATACAATTTTCTAATTTAAATCTACAAACTCAAAAAATAACTGCAGAGAAGGAACCAGCAACCCAGAAAATAGAAGGAAAATTAGAGAATGCTGATACAAACATTGAGGATCTAAAGGAAGAAACTAATGACCAGACTCAGATAAATGAAGACTTAGAAGACACAACAATAATATTGGAAATGGAAAAGACATTTTATAAACCAAGGTTTCAGAACATACTGGAAGATAAGGAGGGAGGCTGTTTAATGAATATCAATGGGCTAGTTCTTCCAAAAATACTTTAATTAAATTATTTATCTTGTTTCAAATAATATACATAAAAATAGAGGAACAATTATTTGACGATCCAAATGCATTGACTTGGAAAGTTAGTTGGCAAAGGAAGAAAGCTAGAGTAAGACTGAAGGAAATAGAAGCTTTGACCTATTAGAGGGGATGTTATATTACCAATTAGATGTTTGAATATGGTTAAGAATAGATTGTTAAAAATAGTATTATTATAACTAGATAGATAGGATTTGTAATCAGAATATCATATCTTGGTATGAAAAGGGAAATAAGAATATGCTAAGAACTTTGAATAAGGAAAGCTTTTGGTTACCCAAATATAACTTATTCTGAAATTAAAAATGATATTTTGAACATGGATGGGAAATTAAAATTGAAAAAAGCAAAAATAAGATATGGACTGATTAAATGGATATTGAGTGCAAATGCAATTAAGATATGCTTTGGTTAGAAAAGATATTCTAAACTGATATTATTGATACTATTAGAAAAATGTAACAAATGTTGATATGCAACTGTATATTTACTAACAACAATAAGAATTGTATTTGCTTAGTGTGGAAAAATGTCTATTACCAGAAGAAGAGAGGATGTATTGGAGGGTGTAATATTGGATTTAGTTTGAAGAAGCTTACATGTACCATGCAATCACTAATGGACTCAGTCATCACCTTGTCTGTTAGGCACTTGATTGTAAAAATCGAAAATTAATAAAATATTTATTTAAAAAAAATTACAAAAGTGCTGAAAAAAGTGGGATGACCAGTCCTCACACAACTGTTGCAATGTCCCCATAGTCACATGATCAACTGGTATGGATTTATTTATTTATTTTATTTTTAGAATCCCCAAACTCAACCAAGTGGTTTTTGGGAGGCTTACAATTTTAAAATTATAAATCAATTAATTCAATTAAAATATTAAAAAATATCCACAAAATAAGTACAAACAGCAGCTGTGGACTTCTGGTTTGCCAAGGCAGCTGCCATGGACATATGGAAGGCGAGCTCTGTCTTCCACATCCAGTTTTGCATCGCTGGGGGACCCTGGAAAGGGTCGAAAGTCACCCTGTAGGGGCGACCAGCAAGGAGGGGATCCCTGCTTGATCGTCACACAATATACATAACACAATATACATAACAATGTCACACAATATACATAACAATGCAAGGAGATTTATTGGATGATTCAAAAGCACGGACATGGAAGACATTTGGCAAAGAAAGAAAGCTAAAATAAGACTGAAGAAAATTGGGGTTTTGACTTATTAGTGAGAATTAAAATAGAATATACTCAAATAGATAAGATGAGTATTTTGAATACTAGATATTGTTATGAGTGGAGATAAAGAAAACTTTGGTTATTTAAAACTTGGAAGTAGAAATATTAACAATTGAATTTGAACATTGATTTGCTTATAAAGGTTAATTGTAAAGATAATTAAGATGTATATAAGCTAAAAAATTATCGATGTATGTTATATGTTCTTGTTTAGTGGCAATAAAAAATTACTAGCTTAAATATGAGATAGTAGATATTAAGAGAATAAGAGAGGAAGTATTAAATGTTGAAATAAGATACATTTTGGTTACTAAATTTAAGATATTTAGAAATTATCAGAAAATAAGAATATTATATTGTATTATTAATTGGTTGATGTAAGATGGTGAGAATTCAAATGATAAGACATGTATGCTGAACATTAGATCTTGTGATGAATTGTGATAATGGAATTGGGATTATTTAAAACTTGGAAATTATACATACTAAACGTTAAATTTAAAAATGGGAAATTAAAAATTGGGAAAAATTAATCAGGACATTGATTGTCTAAAAAGATTGAATGTTAAAACAACTAGGATATGTATAAACAAAAAATATTGATAAATGTAAGAAAGTTATTTTTATTTAATCAATATAATAAGAATTGTATTAATTTAAATATGAGACAGTAAAAACCAAAGGGAAAAGAGGAAATATTTAATGTAATAGTTTGAGATCTGTACTAAAGATATCTGTATGTTATTGAATTATTGACCAACTCAACTGCCACGTTGCTTTTCAAATATTTAAATGTGAAATTAGAAAATCAATAAAACTTTTTTTAAAAAAAATAAAAATAAGTACAAACCACAGCTGTGACGATTAATCAACTAATAATAAAGCCAAGTAATGGGACCTTTAACAAATTCTGAGCCCCAAGTCTCAATTTTAGCCAAAGTTTTAAAGCTTTGCAAAAGGTCACCTGGGTTGGGACCATTTTAATCTCTAAGTGGAGAATATTCCATAAGGCAGGGGCTACAGCTTCTTCTAGTACCCACCAGCTGAAACTCTGGCTGATAGGATCTGCAGCATGCCCAGTCTATTGGATTGAGTTGGACGGGTAGTAACTCTTGGGAATAGACGGTTCCTCACCTAACCCGGTCCCAGGAAGGGCTTTAAAGGTGACAATGAGAATCTTGAATTGCACCCAGAAACATACTGGCAACCAATGCAGCTCATGGAGTAGTGGCATTACATGTGCTGTGTAGGCAGCATCATTTATTACCACTGCAGCCACATTTCCAAAAAAATTTCAAGGGGAGCCCCATATAAAGTGTGTTACAGTAAGACCCATGGTGGCACAGTGGTTAGAAGATGGATAGCACTCAGCTGTCTTTGCAGAGATGTTTTCAAGAAATTGTTTCAAATTCGTCATCTGCAGCCCTGGTGGTGCAGTGGTTAGAATGCAGTTAGAATGTAGAATCCTTCCAAGGTTGGTAAAATGAGGACCCAGATTGTTGGGGGCAGTATGCTGATTCTGTAAACTGCTTAGAGAGGGCTGTAAAGCACTGTGAAGTGGTATTTTTAATAAATTGGAACAACACAAGATATCGACTGGATTCAATTTGGAAAGCAGAGGACTTTGAAGTAAGGAACAGAGCAACTTTGGATGAAGGACTGCACCACCAACAAGGGGAGAAGCAAGCGGGAGAGATGGCCCAAGGAGCAACTGCACAAGCAGAACAACAGAAGGAGAAAGATGAGCAAGAGGGTGAAGGGGAAGGAATTGCCAGAGAACAAAGGATTACAAGATCAACTAGACCTAAATATAAATAATGGAAATGGAAATGGAGAAAGAAAATGGATTTTGTTCGGT